AAACAAAACATGTGAATGGTTTTGAAGTTAATGTGGAGGGGCAGCAAGCACTGTTTACAGTGACTGAAAGACACAGTCCCCAGAACTAAATTGTTCTGACTGTAGAGGCAAACACTTTCCAAATGTTAATCAATAAACCATAACTGCCTGTCATAGTTACGGTTTCTATCGCTGGGAAGAGACATCATGACCACAGCAACTCTTATGAAGGAAAACATTTAATTGGGGCTGGCTTATACTTTTGAGGTTTAGTCTATGATCATCATGGCAGGGAGCATGGTGGTGGGCAGGCAGACATGGTGCTAGAGAAGGAACTGAGAGTTCTGCATTTTGATCTGTAAGGACCAGTAAGTGAATTGTCACACTGGGCATGACCTGACTATATATGAGACCTCAAAACCTGCCCCCACAATGACACACCTCCTCCAACAAGGCCACACTTACTCTAACAAAGCCACACCTCCTAATAGTGCCACTTCCTACAGGCCAAGCATTCAAGCACATGATTCTGTGGGAGCCATTCCTATTCAAACCATCATTCTTCCTAGGAATGAGCCCCTAATTGGTTATCTAATACCAAGGGATGAGTCCTAAAAACGTGTGTGTGTGTGTGTGTGTGTGTGTGTGTGTGTGTGTGTGTGCGTGTGCGCGCGCGCGCGCGCGCAACACTAAACAAACTCGGCAGGTTGAATTTATATATTCATATATCTTTAATAATTAAAGATGCCATGAATTTAAGAATGAGCAGAGGAGACAAGTGAGGGGTTCAGGGAGGTGTGGGAGGGGAAATGTTGTAATTACATTTAACTAAAAATAAAATAAATTTTTATTTTTTGGTTTTTTGAGACAGGGTTTCTCTGTGTAGCTTTGCGTCTTTCCTGGATCTCGCTCTGTAGACCAGGCTGGCCTCGAACTCACAGAGATCCGCCTGCCTCTGCCTCCCGAGTGCTGGGATTAAAGGCGTGCGCCACCACCGCCTGGCCAAATTTTTAAAAATAGGCATAGGTAAGAATTTTCTGAGTAAGACTATAGTTGCTCAGGAGATAAAGTCAACAGTCAACAAGCGGTACGTCATGAATTGAGAACCTTCTGAACTACAAACGAATGAGGAAATGGAGCATGCCTTGATGCCTGTCAATAGATGAATGGGTAATGAAAACGTGGTACATACATGCGACAGGATGCTATTCAGTTGTACAAAGAAATGAAAGTATGAAAATTTCAGGAAAAAGTCATACTGACTGAGGTAGCCCAAGGTCAAAAAGATAAGTGCTCTATATTCTCCCTTATATGGAGATCCTGACTACACATTTTTGGAGTTGTATGTTTGACTTAGAGTTCCACTGAAGGCCAGAAAGATAGAAGGGGCCATTGCAGAGGGATGGTAGAACACATTGGACATGAAAGTGGGGCTGGAAATATAGCTCAGTGGTAGGGCATGTGCCTACATGTGTGAGCCTCTAGGTTCAGTTGCCTTCACAAAAAAACAAAGTGTGGAGGGATTTACTAGAGGTGAAAAGGTCTAAGCAGGGAGGCAGTGGGAGGATAGAGAAAGGAATGAGGGGATGGAGAGATAGTCAAAACCAAGGATATATAGAAGAGGCATGAGAACCCACTATTTGATAAACTTACTGGAGATTAAAACCAAAAAGACAGAGGTTGAGTGTGATGGTTTGAGTAAAAATAGTCCCCATAATCTCATAGGGAGTGGCACTATTAGGAGATGTGGCTTTGTTGGAGTAGGTGTGGCCTATTGGAGTAGGTGTGGCCTGTTAGAGTAGGTGTGGCCTTGTTGGAGTAGGTATGACCTTGTTGGAGGAAGTGAGTCACTGGGGATGGGCTTTGAGGTTTTAAATGCTCAAGCCAGGCTCAATGCTTCTTTCTCTTCCTGCTGCCTGCAGATCCAGATGTAGAACTCAGCTCCTTCTCCAGCACCATGTGTGCCTGTGTTCCGCCATGATGACAATGGACTGTCTCTTTACAACATGACTAAGACATTGGGGTGGAGAGGCTTTGAAGGTATCCTCCATGGGTGAAATTCTCCTCCCAGAAACCATGTGCCATTAAACAAAAATCCCAGTATCAGCTGTGGGATAACTCCATATGAGTTGGTCACAGAGGTCCCATGGGTTTCCAAAACAATATAGGCTCTCCTATTGTTCTGTTTGCCCACCAGAACTTGATGGAAAGAGCCTATTGCTGAAGATACCACATACTTACCTAGCTTTCGTAGTGCAGCATGGGCACCTGGAGGGGGAAAGTCGCAGGCTTTCTCTGCTGTGAATGTGCCTTCTGGGACAAAAGTGGTATGACTCCTATGGGGGTAAACAACTACTTTCTGATCAGATTTGAGGCCCTTTCAACACAGGAAGGGGCTCCTTTTTCTGAAAAAACTAATCAAGAGCTTGTGGCTAGGGAGCTCATAGGCCCTAAGGGAAAACCTACTACTACTGTTTTCCTGAATGGTCATTTTGTCAAACTCTCTTTTAAATATGTGTTTATATCCATAGAGTGGTATTGTAAATCTCAACCTTCAACAACGTAGGTTTTTATTGCTGAGGGCACTTAATGTGGAAATTGGTCAAAGTGCTGAGAATAAGTGATAGTGGAGTGCTTAGCAATAATAAGACAGCTAGATCACTGCCTCCAAGGCTCAGGAAACTCACGCAATATTATGAAGATTAGATTCAAACAATTAGAAGATTCATCAAACAGTGTGGCCATTCAATCTAAACTAACCCATAAAACTAACAAATGCTTTTCATTTGATCAGATGTAACTTGCCATAAGGGAACCTCCCCAAAATTAGGGTTTGGGAAGGGTTTTGTTCTTCTCTTTCCAGGAGAATGAAGGCTAAGGAATCTGCAGACCACTGGACAAATGAGACATCTGAGAATAAGGATGAGTCATCCAGAAAAAATGTCCCAAGGAAAAAAGTAAATTGGCCTATTGATATATCACATTTCCAACAAGATAAAATTTCATAAATCTTCCCAAATGTTTGTTTCTGTTTCTTAAGAAATATAACTGAGGACCCAGTGCCATGACAGGACAAAGAGACCCATATGCAGACCTGGGGTGATTCATCCCGGGCTTTGAGGAGAAAACAAGGGCCCACCTGGCACCTTGTAATGTCAGGGAGATGGGTACTATTGTGATAAGCATGGTGTGGAGAGAGAGAAGAATGAGAGAATGGTCCATGTACTGTGGGCAGAGGCATATCTGAAGAGGTGGAAGTGGTGAGGAGTAGGCTGAGGTTGGTGGTTTGATGGCCACCCAAGGCCATGATGATGACTAGGCCTGGGCTGCTGCTGGGACTCATGTCTGGGTTCAGGCTCTAATGCAGCCATGGTCTCTGTAGATGTCCATGACTCCTAATAACACCAAAGACTGAGAGGATAGGGCTGTACAGAACTGGCCCCTTCCCTCACTGGCTGCAACAGTAGGGAGAACTGGTCCTGCCCCTCACTGGCTGAAGCACTCAGGAGCGAGGGTCCTACACCTCACCTGGGCAGCACAATAGAGCTGACCCTGTTTGCAGGGGCATGGATGAGCTGACCTCGAGGGTATAAAGATGGGAGAGCAGGTCACACTCCTCTCACCCGCCATGTAGTGGTGTGGGTGAAGGAAAGATGCCCTCCTCCCCTCCCCCCTCACCCCCTGCAACAGGTGGGAGACAGAAGCACAAGGACTTTTTGGAGGACGAGAGCAAGCAGAGGAGGTGAGCTACTTGCTATTCAGCCTCTCTGAGGAGCAGAATTCCACCTTAACCTTTGAATCTTGAGTTCTTTAGAGGGAGAGAGGTTTAGTTAAGTTCCCTTCATAGCTTTGCAAGAGTTGGAGCCTGAAGGAACAGAATTCCCTCTGGCTACAGCCCTTGCGGCCTAACTGCTGATACAACAGTGGAGTTGAAGTTGCTGATTCAGTGTGTTGTAACAAATATTACCTTAAATTTATATCAATATACAAAAGTCCTTACAAAATACTTGAGATCAATAGTTGTCCCTTATAGTAGATTCAATATTATTCTATTATTTAAAGTAGATTCAACAATCTACCCTTCCATCCCATCATTCCCATATCCCCCTCTTTTTTTCTTTTTCTAAGAGATCCCTGAATGTAATGTTTTGTCTGCAGGTATACCTCTGTACTACATGTGTGTCTGGTTCCTGCAGAGACCAAAGAGGGCATCAGAGTCTTTGGAACTGGAGTTACAGACAGTTGTGAGCCACCATGTGGGTGCTGGGAATCAAATCCAGGTCCTTTGGAAGAGCAGCCAGTGCTCTTAACTACTGGGCCATCTCTCCAGCCACCCCCATGATTAAAAGGTTTTTTTTTTTTTTAAGATTTTTCTTGTAGAGGCTGGAGAGATGGCAAAACACCAATGCACATAAATTAGTTAATCAAAACTGTTTTTAAATATTTATTTTATGTGTGTGGATATTTTACCTGCATGTGTAACTGTACACCACATTTGTACAAAACCTTTGGAGGACAGAAAAGGGCTCCAGATCCCTGGAACTGAAATTTCAGATGGTTATGAGGTGCCATTTGAGTGCTGGGAACTTAACCCAGGTCCTCTGGAAGAACAGCCAGTGCCCTTAACCACTGAGCCATCTCTCCCGCACCAGCAATGCTGTTCACACAATGATATCTCCTAAGAAATTTGGTTTGGGGAGATTAATATTATTTGGTGGAAATCACTTAATTTGTGAAACAACATTTAAAAACGTATTTCTGTATGTAGAATATACAAATTCATAGAGACAGAAAGATTAGACGTTATCTCAAGATGGAGAAGAAAGGAATATAGAGCAATGATTTCCTAAGTACAGAATTTCTGTTTTGTGTGATGGAAAAGCCCCACAAACGGACAGTAGTATCAGGACATAATATCATGAATATGTAATAAATCAATACAATTAATATAAGTAATGAATATCATAAATATAGTTATTGAATGAATACTGTAAATGTAATCAATGAATACCACAAATGTAATTAATATCATGAGTGTAATTAATGGATATCATGAATGTAATTAATATCTTGAACGTAATTCATGCAAAAAAATAAAAAAAACATATTTCTAAGTACTGCTTCACATAACCGTCTTCCTGTTCTCCTAGTAATTATGAATACATTGATTTATAATTCCCAAAGATGTAAATACTAAAAAGGTTCATTTGAGTATCAGCGTATTTACTTTTTCTTCCTACATGCACTGAAGTAAAATAAAACTAGTTAGTTGGTTGAATTCCTTTCACAACTAAGAATTAGAGAGGTATCATTTAAATAATTCACATGAATTTTAGAGGTGGGAGAAACAGAAAATGACAATGTATACCAAATCATTGATAATACATATTCCTGCTAGGTATCATGGCACTTCCCTTTAATCCCTACACTCCACAGGCAGAGGCAGGCAGAGCTCCACCAGCCAGGACTACGCAGTAAGACTCCATTTCCAAAAATTTTTTTCTCTTAAAAATGTGCCAGGCATAGTGGTGTATGCCTTTAATCCTACTGCTTGGGATGCAGGGGCAGGCATATCTCTCTGAGTTCAAGGCCAGCATAGACTACAAATGTTCCTGGCCATCCAGAGCTACACCATGAGCCCTGTATCAAAACAAAACAAAAGTCTGTCTGTCTGTCTCCTCCTCCTTCCTCTCTGTCTCTCTCTGTGCGTGCGTGTGTGTGTGTGTGTGTGTGTGTGTGTGTGTGTGTGTGTGTGTGTGTGTGTGTGTGTCTGTGAAGGCCTGCTGGTGGACACCCTCTGCCTGTGGAGTGTAGGGATTAAAGGGAAGTGCCATGATACCTGTCTGCTTCTCCAGCACTGGCATCACAAGCACGTGCCATCCCATGCCAGGTTTTTATGTGGGCGTTAGGCTGGACCTCAGGCCCTCACACTTGTGCAGCAAGCACTTAGGGCCTCATCATAGTGACAATGCTAAAAGTATAAATACGTAGGTCAACTTATGTTATGGAATACTTTTCTCAGTGAGACTATTAATTACATCTCCCCCCCAAAAAAACACAGTAAAACCTATATACATTTAAAGCATTTTTCTAAAGAAATGGGAAAGAAATCTATTATGAATAGTTTGAAGAGGTAAGTTGGAAAATGACAGTACAGTACTAAAAACAAATGAAATTTGGCTACAACGTCTTGTGCATTTAAAAAATCTTATTTCATCAATATAATGACACATTTTTGATAGTAAGATTTGCCTTCCAAAATAAACCATACAATTGAGATTAAATATCCCTTTCAGATTAAATATTGTTTGGTCCAAAGTAGAGAATCAATGTAGCTTTATCATTGCCTTTTTCCGTTGAATGGCCAATTAATACATCATATTGGATGAAATCATTGGAAAATCATTAATAAATACAGGACTTCTAAAACGGTCATTGGAATCCTATTCTTGGAACCTCAATACTCCATCTTCTCCTGCACTTTGCTTTGGGGGAAATTCCAAGAGCTCCATACTGAACACACGGCTGTGGTATTTAAGTCTGAATCTTCACTCTAAGTTTCAAATATCAACTTCCCCCTTAACAGCCACTTCACTACATTGTGTGCAGTGTGGCTATCTGGTGAAATGACAGAGGCGGTGACCGAAATCCCAGTGCACACATTCCGAGAAACGACGGAACTTCTCATTGGCATCTCTGCACGCCTACCCTCTCCTGCAGAGTAATACTGTATGTGTACAGACTGAAGTGAGAACGCAACAGAGGCCGCACCACGGTCTCTTCCACAGTCTCAAGAGGATCTCCTGCACATACTTTTCGGCCTAGAACCGTCAAAATGAAATTCTGCCATACTCTGCAGAAAAAAAAAAAGGGGGGGGTACATTGGGCCCATGTTGATCAATGCATAGTGCTGCCACAAGATCAAGTGATCACCCTATGACATTATCGCAAACAGCCCGGTCCGTTCTGTCACCCAAACCTCATCAGGGCCAGTCAAGCGCTCCCCACTGGGCACACCCCACACCGAGGCAGCCACGCATTCCCACGCGCGACCACACAGACCCTGGCGAGCAGCCGACAGCCACAGGATCCCAAAGTCCCACATGCCCGCTTCGGGTTCCAGGAACTGGGAAGCGCGGCTGCCACTCGGACCCGGGTCAGCTCAACTCAGTCCACAGGGAAAAGAAAAAGAAAAAAAGATGACCACAACGCCAGAGGAAGGTGACCCCAAGCCGAGCTTCTAGGACCGGCCTGCAGGTCTGGGTGGAAGTAATTCAGGACCCAGCCAAGAGGACATTGGTACCAGCGCAGGGCGAGGGACAGGCGCGCAGCATCTAACGGGCTGCCCCAGAGGCTCCTGGGAATGCGACTCCCCGGGATGTGTGCGCAGGCGCAGATGGCTGAGCCACGGCAGGGGGTGAGGCTGCTGAGTACTGGGGCGTCTGAAGAGGACCGCAGTGGATGCTCCGGATCCCGAGAGCGTCGGAGAGAGCGAATCCAGATGGGGCGGCCCGGGAGGAAACCAGGAGGCCGAGCCGGGCCTGGTAATTTGGGGGGTAAGGAAGCGGGACCCGGACACTCAGCCACAGCACAGGGCCTCGGGCGTGGTCCGTGGGCGTGACCCTGAGGATGACTGCTGGTGACCCGAGGGCGCAGGGGTAGTTTGCTTGTTTAAGCGCAAGAAAGCTCTGTCCCTGGGAACAGGACCCTGGGCTGCAAGAGCGTTGCCTGTGAGGATGTGGGGTGCATGTTGCGGTTTGTCTCCCTTGACTCATCCTGATTATGGTTTTTATTTTGGTGGGGCGGGGGGTGAGTGTGATCTCCTTGGATGTGTGAAAGATGGATGATGGAGTCTTGCATAGGGTTACTGCGGCATGCGTCTGTTTTTAGATTAAGTGTGACTTGTATTTGAGGCAGGAGAATTGAAAGTGATCTGTTAACGTGATTGTGAGGGACTTTGCCTGGAATTGTATCAGGTTCTGTGGTCGTGAATGACATGTGGGGCTATAGTTTGGTGGTTTTCTGAAGGATGTTTGTAAGGTTATCACTAATTGTGTGTTTTCTTCTGTTGTTTCTCATGGTTTTATGTCTGTAGAACCCTTAATATTTAAATGATTGAGGTATGCCGTACGATCACATATGTGTAATTTTTTTTTAAAGACAGATGCATTATGTATCCCAACTGCTGGGATTCCATGTGGTGTGTGCACCACCAAGCCTGGAAGTTATGTACTATTTGATTATCAGATTAGTAGCCAGCAAGCCTGCTTCACAAATTTCTAAGTAGGAACTTAGAAAATATGATGGCACTAATGTTGGGAAGGAATAGGTAAGATTTTCATGATTCCCAGTGGCGAGGCCACTTACCTGGAAGCACAATGTTAAATAAAAACAGTGTTGGAAAGAATGGTGTTGCATGGGAGCCTGCAGGAAGTGCAGCACTTTCCACACATTTATGTAAGTGGATTCTTCTGCTCCTGAAAATTATAAAAAAAAATATTTAGTACACTTTTACTTCTAAGAACAGCCTCATCTTAGTAATTAAAATAACTTTGCCAACCAGAGTATTCACCGTAGCAGTCAGTCCTTCGGACTTTGCTTAGCCAAATGGGAGCTGGCAAATTGTCAGAGTGGTTAATTTCTTTTCTGTGTCTGTATCTGTACTTCTAAATGTGTTAATGCAGTACGTACTTCTTGAATTAACTGTTAGTACTGAGTAATGCTTATATATTATGCTGATATAACTTTTTAAAATTTATTCATTTTCATGTGCACGAGTGTTTTGCCTGCATGTATGTATTGTATCATGTGTGTGCCTGCTGCCCACAGAGGTCATAAGAGGGTATCTCCTGGAACTAGAGTTACCAGTGTCTATGAGCTGCCATGTGGGTGCTTGGAACTGAGTCCTCTGCAAGAGCAACAAGTACTCTTAATCACGAACCATTCTCCAGCCCCAACTATGCTTCTTAAATAGTGTACTACAAGCAAATCAGTAAGGAGATTGAAACAGAAAGTAGAAAATCCAGATTTTTAAGCTATGGGGAAATGTAACATATGACCAGGTCTTTTGAAGCATATGTAGTATAACATGTGATAAAGATGACATATTTATCATGGGTGGTGGTGGCGCATGCCTGTAATTCCAGCATTTGGGAGGCAGAGGCAGGAGGGTCTCTGTGAGTTTGAGGCCAGTCTGGTCCTCAGAGTGAGTTCCAGGAGAGCCATGGCTACACAGGGAAACTCTGTCTTGAAAATCAAAAAGAAAAAAAAAAGATGGCATTTACTTTTAATCGAGGAGACATTGATTATACAAAACAATACATAGCTAAACACAGTTTACAGGAGGAGATTTTCACGATGGAAAGCCGAATAATAGAAACTAAGAAAAGTTATTCGACTCTCAAAATGATTTGGATCTTAAGCAGAAAATAGGATCTGAGAGTATAGTTCAGTGATAGAACACTAGAAAAAAAAATCAGAAAATACCCATGGCAAAGGTATAACAAACTAGATAAGAGTACAAGAAAGGGGAAATGTTAAACACATTAAAGGAAGTTTATCACAATAAGAAAGATATACCTTGGACCACAGTACAGAACTGATAAAGGCTTCACCAGGGCTGGGAAGGTGATGGCATGTCCTGCTGGTGACGGTACAGGTCAGCAGAGAGAACATGAAGACGCTGTGGTGGGGCAGTGCTGAGCATCGGGCACAGAGTCTTGCTTATGCTAGCAAGTGCTGGACCGGAGTCACAGCCCAGACCTGTTCTGTAAACCTGTGTTCCACAGGAAATTGAAGAGTGCAAAACAAGAAGTTGCATTTGCCAGCTGCAGCAGGTTCTACGGAATCCATCCTGGCTCAGCAAGAGATGGGGTTTCTGGTTTTGGCGAGAAAGCGAGACTTGTTTGCTTCTACACAGACCTCTGTCCTGGGTTTTGGAAGTGCACCCAGAGATGGCATGTGGAAACAGTGGAAATGTATGCAGATGTAATTGAGTTATTCCGAGAGATCTAATTTGAGCCTGGTTTCTTCCTGGCTCCTCACGTCCTTCCATCTTTGCCTTTATAGGACTCCTCCCTTTTCCAAAAGAGGAACCCAGACGACGAGGTTCATCTCTCACAAGTCTCAAAGCCATGTCTAAGGTGAGATAGTTCCTTTCTTTTCTTTCAGGAAATAGGGACATTTGCTTAGTAATGCTGCTTCAGCTGCCAGGATATTAGGATTTGCTTCCATGAAACAGTTTTTAGACTAGGGCCAGGGTCTCTAGTTAAGGTCCTGATTGGAGAGACAAGTGGCACTGGGCTGTAATATTTAAGGTGATGTCTTCCAAATTTTCTCCTGTACATGGTTCACCTGCCTCACTGATTCCAGTGCGGGTACCTAATTCCAACCAGATGACCTTAAGCCTTCCTCAGGTATACCTTCTATTTATGGCCACCGTTCACAGACTGCTCACTGTCTCCTTTGTCTGTCTCCTTACAGAAGTACTGCTGTAATAAAAATGTATTGTCTTGATTTAGAGAGAAGTAAATTATTGTACTTTTATCTTGACACTGACTTGAGATCTAAATTGTGAGTACTCAAGGAGCAGACAAGGGTAGGAGGTAAAATTGTTGGGTCACGTGATTAGTTTGTGGAAAGATGGCCTGTATGTGAGGGTTTCAGTGTAGACATTTGAATATGAACTGGTATAGAAAACTGAGGTTGGACCACTGGCCATGGTGATGCACATGTAATCCCAGCATATGGGAGACAGGTAAGAGGATCCTGATTTGAGCTGGGGTTCCAAAGTGAGACCTTGTAAAAGACAAAAGTTTTTTAGAACTTTTTTTGCTTGTTTCTTTTATTTTTTTTTCCAGAGCTGAGGACCAAACCCAGGGCCTTGCGCTTGCTAGGCAAGCGCTCTACCACTGAGCTAAATCCCCAACCCCTCATTTTATCTTTTAAGACAAGGTTTCTCTGAATTAGCCTTGGCTATCCTGGAGCTTGCTCCATAGACCAGGCTGCCCCCAAACTCACAGAGATCAGCCTGTCTCTGCCTCCCAAGTGCTGCGATTAAAGGCATGCGCCACCACTGCCCAGCTTAGATTTCTTTACGTGTATGAGTGTTTTGCCTGTGTGTATGTATGTGTACCATGTGTGTGCCTGGTGCCCTTGGAGGTCAGAAGAAGGTGTCCATCCTTTGGATCTGGAGTTGCAAACAGGTATTAACCACCTTGTGGGTGTTGGGAACTGAACCCAGGTCCTCTGTAAGAGCAATAAGTGCTCTTAACTACTGAGCCGTCTCTTTACCCCCTCCTCTCTAATTTTTCTATTGATTCCTGTCTGCCAGGAATTCCTACCAGGGGAAATCTGTTCAGTATTCAGTACTATTACTGGTTTATTATTTTCTTTTATCTGTCTTCTAAAATTTTACATCCACTTGCAGGAGAAGAAAATGCATGGGCTAGTCCACTCTTGGAATAATCTGTCCTTGAATCGAAGGCAGTACCTTGTCCTGTTTTCATATTTTTCTTTCATAAAATTCCTCATCTACCAACCTTTAAAGTATTGGTTTTCCTCCAAGTTTCAATCGGTTCATTGTTTTATGTCCTCTTTTTCTGTATACACAGTCAGAATTGCTTTGCAAGACTACACTTAATTTGATTCTGTGACTATGAAATACCTCCGTCCATTCAGACATCAGAACCATATATTCAACATGCAAGGGCTTGGAGTGTAGCCCAGTTGGTAGACTGTTTGCTTAGCATGCATGGAGCTCCTGGTCTACAGAGCAAGCTCTACAGCACCACATTAACTGGGCGTGGAGGCACAGGTCTACAGTCTTGATGTTCTGAAGGGGGAGAGAGGAGGATCAGTAGTTCAAAGTCATCCTCAACTACATAACAGCTTTCAGGCTCTCCTGGAAACAAACAAACAAACAAACTACCCACTAACAGTCACCACCTACCCATTCCATACACTCTTCATTTCCTTCGTGACCTTCTGTGATCCAGCCTGTTATTTCCTCTGTTTCCTGTTTTGATTTTCTTTTCTTTTTTTTTTGTTGTTTATTTTGAGACAGGGCTTCATTGTATGGTCCTAGTAGTATGGAACTCACTGTGTAGCTGAGGCCAGCCTTCTGCATCTGCTTCCTGAGTCCTGGGATTATAGGCATGCACCACTACATTCGGCTCTTGTTCCACTTGCCCACTCCCAGCTTTCACATACTTACCTTGGCAGTGAGCCCAAGAGCTGTCCTCTTCCTTCTCCAGGCTGTTACAACCAGTTGTCTCAAACCCCATCAGGTGGGAACCGGTGGTCCTCCGTTAGCCCACTAATCCGCAGCATAATCTCCAGGAGTGGTTACCTAATCGTCTTCCCTACCTAAGGCATTCTCAGCCTTCTCCAGTAGCCTGCACCATGGCCCACGCCTCCTGTCCAGCTTCATGAGTCAGACTCTGGTTTCATTTGTTTGTTTTTGAGGAATGTTACCATATAACTTATATTATGTTTTTCATGTTTAATTTGTATTCGTGTGTGTGTGTGTGTGTGTGTGTGTGTGTGTGTGTGTGTGTGTGTGTATTAATGTGGGTGCCTGTGGAAGCCAAAAGAGGTCAGCAAATTCCCTGGAGCTGGGGTTACAGCTGGTTGTGAGCTTCCAGATGTGGGTGATGGCACCCAAACTCTAGTCTCTGGAAGAGTGGCAAGTGCTTTTAGCTGCTGAGCCATCTCTCAAGCCCACTTCATGGTCAGGCCTGTGTGCATTGCAATAGAATATACAAGATCATATATTGGAAAGGAAAAAAAAATACTAACAGAGTGCATTCAAGAGTAGTAGTGATCAACTATGTAAGTTGCCACTCATGCCTGTTGATGGTTTATCAATAACAATGAATATGTTGGAAACGTGATCAAGTCAATTTTTTATTATTAAAAATTTTTGTTAGTTTTTTGAAACATGGTATTTCTGTGTAGCCCTGGCTGTCTTGGGACTCGATATGTAGACCAAGCTGGCTTGGAATACACAGAGGTCCACCTGCCTCAGCCTTCCAGGTGTTGGGATTAAATGTGCCATGATGCCATGTTAAGTCCATTTATTTGTTATTTTAGCCAGGCAGTGGTGATGCATGCCTTTAATTCCACACTTAGGAGGCAGAGGCAGGCAGATCTCTGAGTTTGAGGCCAGCCTACCTGGTCTACAGATTGAGTTCCCGGACATCCAAGACTACACAGAGAAATCCTGTCTCAAAAAAACAAAACAAAAATTGTTATTTTAATTTGAATGTGTGTGTGCCTGTGAGTCACACATGTGTGCACCATATGTGTGCAGGTGCTCTTGGAAGGGAGAGAAAGGTATTTGAGTGTCTGGAACTACAGTTAAAGGCAACTGAGAGCAGCCTAATGTGGGTGCTGAGAACCAAACCCAGGTCCTCTGAAAAAGCATGGAGTACTCTTAACCACTGAGTTATGTGGGTGCTGAGAACCAAACCCAGGTCCTCTGAAAAAGCATGGAGTACTCTTAACCCCTGAGCCGGCTCTTCATTTGTGAGTTCGTTTTTCAGAGCTGTGCCTTGAAGGAAGAGGGTCCAGTATTACTCCTGGTGTACTCGCTGTCTCCGTTCCTGCAGCTTGTTGCCTTTTTGGTCTCAAAGCCTGTTCGCTAACATGCTGTTTACTAACTGGCCTCCTTCCATGAATTTTTATTCATTTAAAATTTTACTCATTTTTTTAAGACAGTCTGACTGTGTAACCCTGGCTGGCTTGGAGCTCACTCTGTAGACCAGGCTGACTTTGAACCCACAGAGATCCACCTGCTTCTGCCTCTCAAGTGCTGAGATTAGAGGCATCCCATGAGTTTTTGAAAACCAATGTCTTTTATTCCTGCAATACGGATTTATTCTTAGTTCAAAATTTTGTACGCTCAGTGAAGCTTCAGATTACAGGATGAAATTTTCTTTGCTTTGTGATGCATTTTCTGTGTACATTTTCCCCTCATTGTGTTTTTGATCCTTACTGAGTGAATGTTTCTCATATGCCTCTCTTTATAACTTCTCCCAAGTAGAATCAAGGCTTTTATCATTTTGGTCCACCAGTAAATCAGTGGCCACAAAACTGTGGTCTAAGATTATTTATATTTTTAACATGAGATAAAAGCTCAATATTACTGGATGTATTTTTAGAAAGAGTGTGTGTGTGTGTGTGTGTGTATGTGTGTGTGTGTGTGTGTGTGTGTGTGTGTGTGTGTGTGTGTGTAGCACAAATTGCACAATTAAGGAGCTAGAGAGGTGGCCCAGTGATTAAGAGTACTGGCTGCTGATATCAGGTTGGTGGCACACACCTTTAATCCCAGTACTCATCGGCAGAGGCACAGGCAGCCTGGTCTCCATAGTGAGTTCCAAGATAGCCAGAGCTACATAGAGAGAGAGACGTAGTCTTAACTCTCCTCCCCTCAAAAATGGTCACTGGCTGCTCTTGGAGAAGACTTGGATTGGTTCCCAGTACCCACACAGGAGGCTCACAACAGCCTGGAACTCCAGTTCTAGGGATCTGACACCCTCTTTTAGCCTCCTCAGACACTGAAGCCATGTGGTACACATACTGTAGCCAGGCAAATACTTATACACATAAAATAAACAAATCTTTTTCAAAGATAAAATTTTAAAACTAGTTCATCCACTGATCATCCCCAGACTAGTCCCCAACATTTAGTTCTAACCCATTTCCAATAACTTCAGGATGAACTGCTACAGTGTGCCCTTACAGGGGTCCCTGTCACTCAAGGATGTGACCGTGGACTTCACCCAGGACGAGTGGCAGCAGCTGGATCCTGCTCAGAAGGCGCTCTACAGGGATGTGATGTTGGAAAACTATGGCCACCTCATCTCCGTGGGTAAGTGTCACTCATATCCTTTCCAGAATTCCAAAATCGGGTTCTCATGCTTGAGCAGCAGGTACATCACCAACGGAGGCGTCTCCTCCCGCCGGTGTGACTCTCCGTGGTTAGCAGAACGTATTATTTTGTTTATGAGACATCGCCTCTCAGTGTAATCCTCCTGGTTGTTCTGGGGCTTGCTATCTAGATCAGGCTAGCCTTGAACTCACAGAGATCCTCCTGCCTCTGCCTCCTGAGTGCTGGGATTAAAGGTATGCACCACCATGCCTGGCCCAATATACGGTTTTTTAAGGACTTATTTTTATTTAATATATATGAGTGTTTTACCTGTGTGTGTGAACCATGTGTGTGCTTGATGCCTGTAGAGGGCAGAGGAGGGATGTCTGATCCCCTGAAACTTAAGGATGGTTGTGAGTGGCCATGTGGGTGCTGGAAATTGAACCTGGGTCCTCTGGAAGAGCAGCCAGTGTTTTTAACTGCTGAGCCATCTCTCCAGCCTCAGGATATATGATTATTAACTTTGGGAAGACATTAATTTGTAACCCATGTGCCACCATGAAGTTGTGTCTCTCTCAGTAGTTTAGAGTCCCAGCAATTGAGATCAAGTCTCACTTTTCTTCCCCCCACCCCCTCCGCCTTCCTTCCTCTCCCTTTCTTCATTATCAGGATTTCACATAACAAAGCCTGATATGATCCGAAAATTGGAACAAGGAGAAGAGCTATGGACAGAGAGAATGTTCCCAAGTCAAAGCTATCTAGGTAAGTCATAGATATTAGAGTTTGTGGGACAGATGAAGACGTAGCTCAGTGCTGGAGCACCTAAGACACCCAAGGAGCTGGGTTTGATCTCTGACGCTTCCTAAGAAAACAGAAGTTCAAGGTGGGGTGGTTGCCCAGCTGTTAAAGCCCCAAACAGAATCCTCTAGTGCTGAATCTCAGGCACTGACAGCTTTGATGGTCTGGGTATCCATTTTAGAACTGCGGTAGAGTGCAGTTCACCATTGTTATCATTTTAAGCACGTAGTTCAGGGGCATGAACTACATTCACATTTTTGTTTGTGTGTTTGCAACCATCACCATTGGGGAGCTCCAGAAGTGTCATGTTACAAAACTGGAAAACTGCCAGGCAGTGGTGGCCCACGCCTTTAATCCCAGCACTCAGACGCAGAGGCAGACAGATCTCTGTGAGTTCGAGGCCAGCCTGGTCTACAGAGTTCCAGGACAGCCAGGGCTACACAAAGAAACCCTGTCTCAAAGAACCGTAAAAAAAAAAAAAAAAAGAAAGGAAGGAAGGAATAAATAAATGTATGGTGGTTCCTGTTATCTTACCGAGAATCCATTATAGGCTTTGTAGGTATGATGTGTAATGATACAGCACACAGGCCTCGGCGGGTGAGAGACAGAGACACCATGCAGACAGCACTCAGTGCAGGGTTTTATTTGGTGGGGAGAAGAAAGGGGGGAGAGAAAGAGGGAAAGTGGAGGTGTGCACGCCTCATGCGGGGGAGAGGAAGAAGAAGGGAGGGGTTTTTCCTTAAAAGAGAATTTACATCAGGACGCAGGGCAGGTCCCCAAGGGGTGGGACAGAATGCCACCATTATGTACACAGAGGTCTGGCACATAGTTCTTCCAATTCTGACAAATAGATAGACCCATGTTCCAAATCCCAGTCAAGATAAAGACTGTTAACTCAGTCATTCCCAATAAGTCTCTTCTGAAACCTTCCTCCCACTAAGTTTTGAATTTTACTAGAATTAGTTTTATCTATTCTACCCCATTTTCTTCCTCTCAGCTTCATAGTTGAAAGATTCATACAGGGTTTTAGATGTTTAAGTCTTTTGTGGTGTTTGTTTGTTTGTTTTTCTTACAAAAGGAGATAGAGAGCAATTTGGAAAGACACCAGTATCAACCTCTGGCGCGCACATGCACACACACACAACACACACACACACACACACACACACATACACACACACACACACACGCACGCACACACGCACACACGTATGTGCTCACCCCCACACAAACACCTATACACCCTACCCTACTCCCATAAAATGCACTTTTGAAGTAAAAACACTTTGCTTGTATATTTGCAAACTAGTGTTTTCATTTCTTTTTGAGTTTGTGTATATGTGTATGTGCATGTTAATGTGTGAGGATACTGCAAACACGGGCAAGCATGAACATACAGAGACACAACACAATCACCTTACAGCTTTTGTTCTAAAGATGTTAGCCAGGGACCTGTAAAGTACAGTGGTGTGCCCACCCTTTCTGTACAGTATCTGCTTTGTTGTGTAAAAAAAAAATATGTAAAGTGCTAGGGGTGGAACCAGAGCACTTTACATATGCCAGACAAATGCTTCCACCGAAGTTCCTTTCACTGTGTCATCTTAGCAAGACAAATGTGATCAATTTGAAGAGCCTCCTTGTGGCCATCTCTCTAGAGCCCACCTCTTTTAAAACTGTTTGTTTCCTAAGAGTCTTTTGTTTCTTAGCACAGGTAATTCTGGTGGTCCTGAGTTCTTTAAGTGTCCCTAGGAGGGGTAGGGAGTTTCCTTAGCAGCTGGAGTAGAGAGGGCAGGTTCTGGCATGGATGAATAGTGGTTGAAAAGGCAGAGGATTGGAGGGGGCATAGCGGGCTCAAGGGAACTGAGACAAGACAGAGATGGTAGAGGAGGAAGAAGTAGAAATGATGGGCTGGCCAAGGTCCTGCAGGGCTGCCAAGCCTGCAGACCTGAGTTCACTTCCCAGGGCTCCGTGGGGAAGGAGAGAAGCAGTTCGCACAGATTGTCCTCCTTCTTCCACCTGCAAATGTGCGCTCAGGTGCACGTGCACACAAAAGTAAATAAATACCGTTTAAAAACTGACTTCCAGGGCATCTTTGGTTACCTAGCAAGTTGAGGCTGTGCGAGATAGTTTTATGTCAACTTGACACAAGCTAGAGTCATCAGAGAGGAGGGAGCTTCTATTAAGATCATGTCTCCATAAGATTGGGCTGTACACAAGCCTGTAAGGCATTTTCTTAATTAGTGATTGATGCGGGAGGGTCCAGCCCATTGTGGGTGGTGCCAGCCCTGGGCTGCTGGTCCTGGGTTCTATAAGAAAGCAGACTGAGCAAGCCATGGGCAGCAAGCCAGTAAGCAGCACCCCTCCGTGGCCTCTGCATCAGCTCCTGCCTCCAGGTTCCTGCCCTGGTTGAGTTCCTGTCCTGACTTCCTTCATTGACAAACAGTGCTGTGGAAGTGTGAGCCAAATAAGCCCTTTCCTACTCAGGTTGCTTCAGTAATGGTGTTTTGTCACAACAGTAGTGACCCTAGCTAGGACAGAGGCCAGCTTCGGCTGTGAGACCCATCAGCTATTTCGCTTCCAGACCAAGGGAGCCAGGGAGTTACCCCTTCTTGGAACAGAACCTGGAATGAAGAAGACTAGAATCATTTCTTTTTCTTAGAGGCGTGTGCTGCCATAACGTTTTGAGAAGCCCATCCCATCACTCTTGCACAGGTGTCCTGATGTGTTTGTTCCTGGAGGAACTGTCTTCACTCTTTTTTTTTTTTTTTTTTTTTTTTTGGTTTTTCGAGACAGGGTTTCTCTGTGTAGTTTTGCGCCTTTCCTGGAACTCACTTGGTAGCCCAGGCTGGCCTTGAACTCACGGAGATCCGCCTGGCTCTGCCTCCCGAGTGCTGGGATTAAAGGCGTGCGCCACCACCGCCCGGCTCTGTCTTCACTCTTGCTCTGTTCTTTTTCAAGGTGTGCAAGTGCTCTATCTGCATGTACACCTGCATGTACACCTGCAGGCCAGAAGAGGGCATCAGATCCCACTAGAGATGGTTGGGAGCTACCGTGTGCGTGCTGGGAATTGCACTCAGGACCTCTGGAAGAGCAGCCAGTGCTCTTAACCGCTGAGCCATCTCAACAGCCCCACGGAACTTTCTCCACTCTTAGTTCTTGACTTTGTAAAAGTCCTGTGAATGATAATAGTCTGATCTAGTCTCAAATAGGGATTTCTTTGTTTTACATGAATAACTTCAAGTAGATGTTTCAGCCCATTTCTCTCACTATAATGGCATATTTTAATTTGTTAGGAAAGCAGCATGATTAAATTAGATATTTCACATAATATAGCCATGTTAAAATACTAGTTGTTTGGGGCTGGAGACATGGCTCAGAGGTTAAAAGAATGTATTGCTTGTGCAGAGGACCTGAGTTTGAGTCCCAGCACCCATATTGTCACTGCTCTAGTTGGCAGTGTGAACCTGGGAGAGTGGAGCCTAAAAATGAGGTGGACTAACTTCTCATGTAACAGCCAACTTTATCCAGGGTACCAGACAGTTCATACTCTGAGGGCACTCTGAGGGTTAAACCAGGTCATGTGAACAAAGTTCCCTGGAGTTCACGGGACAGTCACAAGGGCAAGGACACATTAGTTCACACTGTATACAGTCAAGAGGACAGCTCATGCTTGGAAATAACGTTCTGAATAATGGTGAGTAAAATGATGGGTAATCTGAAGTAAACCACTCCTATTTACTACACCTGGGAGGGGCATGAAAGCAGATTCCAAGAACAACCCACGTTATGGAGGAACAGAGGTTACAAGACTCTTGTCTTGTTTTCTTGCAAGCACTCAGAAATCTCACACAGCTTCATCCATGGACCGTGTTCTGACACCTGTACCTCCAGTTCCAGGGGATCTGATGCCTCTGACTTCCTTGATCACTTGCATTCATGTGTGCATAACACACACACACAGGGTTGGGGGGTGGGGCTTTGAGAATATTTAAAATAAATAGCAGGACCTAGGCAGTGGCGGTGCACACCTTTGATCCCAGTACTCGGGAGGCAGAAGCAGGCGGATCTCTGTGAGTTCGAGGCCAGTCTGGTCTATAGAGTGAGTTCCAGGACAGACAGGACTGTTACACAGAGAAACCCTGTCTCAAAAAACAAAACAAAACAATAACAATAATAATAATAATAATAAACAAGTATTTGAAATATTTCTTAAGTGGGCAATAATTTTATTCTAACTTCAGGAAATACTTCTCTGAATTTATTTTCCAATTTTATTCCAGTTTCAGAACAATTAGACTTTGTGGATAACAGCATGTCCCTGGAGGTGTTTGAGGTTCTTAGGGAGAAAATATAACTCCACTTACTAATATGAACAAATTTTCAGTTTCTTAGAAGTACAGATAAGTGGAATTGTACTTGTGTAAGTTTTACACTCTAAATAATATGTGAGCTTCACTCCTGCTGTCATTTTGTACTGCAGTTTACCCCCACCTCTACCTTAAAAAAACCCTAGGTACATAGGGAAACCCTGTCTCAACACAACAAAACAAAAACCACGAACTACCCTTGCTGGGCCCACCTTATCTGTATGAATCTCCCCCTTCCAAAGCCCCCTCTCACCGCCATCTATCTTTGCTGTTATACTTGTTTATCCTTGCATGTGTTATACTTGTTTATCCTTGCATGTGTTATACTTGTTTTTCCTTGCATGTGTTATACTTGTTTATCCTTGCATGTGTTATACTTGTTTATCCTTGCATGTGTTATACTTGTTTATCCTTGCATGTGTTATACTTTTCCTATGCAGCTTATATTTGCAGGAAAAAAATGCAACTTTGTTTTAAAGGTTTTTTCCTCCTTCAGTGGCTTACCAGGACTGTGTTTGTTGTGTAGGTTTCCCACCCTAGGAGATAACTAAGGGGCAAGAATATAGATCAGTTGGTAGAACACTTGCCTACCATGCTGGAAGCCCTGACTTGAATCCCCAGTACTACACAAGTGGGGAGTGCTGACGACACATGTCTTTAATCTTAGCAGTGGTGTGTGTGTGTGTGTGTGTGTGTGTGTGTGTGTGTGTGTGTGTGTGTGTGTGTGAAGAGAAGGATCAGAAATTGAAGTCACCAACCTTTGGCTACATAGCAACTTCAAGATCAACATCTACATAAGACCTTGTCTCAAAAATAAAAGATTTATTCTATTCATTTTGTAAACCATAATAACAAGACATCATGGTGTGTGTGTGTGTGTGTGTGTGTGTGTGTGTGTGTGTGTGTGTATTTTAAGAATTGCTAATTAATTATATTCTTTCCTAGAAGATGAAGATGTTTTGATGAAGTTCAAAGACTACCAAGACAAGCATTCTAAATCCATTGTAATCATCAACCACAAGAAACTAATTAAGGAGAGAACCAATATTTATGGGAAAACTCTTATACCAGGCAAGAACCATATTATTTCCCAAACACTATTTGAATATAAATCTGATGGGAAAGTTTTGAAAAATATTTCAGAATTCATTAATAGAGATATGAACCCTGTAAGAGAGAAGTTTGGTGATAATGGATGGGAGAAATCAATCCTGAATTCCAAACATGAGAAAACTCATCCTGAAACCACCCTCCATAAACAAATAGAAAGGGGTCTAAAGCTGGCTCAACGCCAGAAGCTGCAGATTCCAGAACAGCCTTTTGAATGTAACGAATATGACAGCTCCTTCCTTATGAGAGGAATGATATTTCCAAATAATAGAGCTCACAGAGGAGACGGAAACTTCAGCTACAATAAAGACGAAATTGCTTTTTTAGAAAAGTCAGACCTTGGTATTCATCCACATAATCTTATGGAAAAGAAATCCTCTACATACAACAAATATGGGAAATTCCTTTGCAGAAAGTCAGTTTTTATTATGCAGCCTAGATCTCAAATGGAGGAGAAGCCCTTCCAGTGTCCTTACTGTGGGAACAGCTTTCGCAGGAAGTCCTACCTCATTGAGCATCAACGGATCCACACAGGCGAGAAGCCCTATGTTTGCAGCCAGTGTGGAAAAGCCTTCCGTCAGAAGACAGCCCTGACGCTTCATGAAAAAACACATATAGAGGGGAAACCTTATCTTTGTATGGACTGCGGGAAGTCCTTCCGCCAGAAGGCAACCCTCACTAGACACCACAAAACACACACGGGGGAGAAAGCTTATGAGTGCACGCAGTGTGGAAGTGCCTTTAGAAAAAAGTCCTACCTCGTGGACCATCAGAGAACTCACACAGGGGAGAAACCGTATCAGTGCACTGAGTGTGGGAAGGCATTTATCCAGAAGACAACCCTCACTGTCCACCAGAGGACTCACACAGGAGAAAAGCCCTACATTTGTACTGACTGTGGGAAGTCCTTCTGCCAGAAAACAACTCTTACCCTCCACCAGAGAATTCACACAGGCGAGAAACCCTACATCTGTAATGACTGTGGGAAGTCCTTCCGCCAGAAGGCAATTCTCACTGTTCACTACAGGATACATACAGGAGAAAAGTCCAACGGCTGTTCCCAGTGTGGGAAAGCCTTTAGTAGGAAATCAAACCTCATTCGCCATCAGAAAACTCACACAGGAGAAAAACCCTATGAATGTAAAGAGTGTGGAAAATTCTTCAGTTGTAAGTCAAACCTCATTGCCCACCAGAAAACTCACAGGGCAGAAAATGTGAGAATTCAGTGAGTGGTGTGATTTTACTTTTTTATTTATTTGTTTTTTAGGTTTTTGAGACAGAATCTCACTAGGTAGCCTTGGCTGGCCTGGAACTTGGTACATAGACCAGAATCAGAAAGCTACCTGCTTCTGTCTCCTGAGTACTGGGATTAAAGGCGTGTATCACCAAGCCCTGGAGATTATTTTGTAATACTGAGTGCTTTCAGGTTCTCTTCCTTACATTTACTACTTGTTAGCCTATCACACACACAAATGCTATTGGATAAATTAAATGACAATAAAATGAAAACGCAGGCTTCATTTTCTTATTACTGGACTCAGCAGACTAAACTGACCTCTGATGAATTGCTATAACCATTCAAAGTTGCTTATTTTCAGTCTCATGAGGTACATATATTTCTTGTAAATCAGTAATAAATCGTTGGCCAAATGCAACTTGTTTGTATGAAATAAAAATTGTTACCTCCTCAATGTTAACCACAGTTCTGACTTCTAACATTGTAAATTGGCTTTTACACACTATAAACCTTTATATGAAGTTGAATTGTTTACCATATGTTCTTTCATTCACAGCTTGTTTCACTGTCTGAGTCCAGTTATGAATGCATGTGCAGAAGTTCATTTATTTTTATTCTGAATAGAATACCATTACATAAGCATATCACTTTTACCCATTCTGCTATTGATGGACTTTTACAGTGTTTACTGCTTAGGGCCATAATAAAAATGTACCTGTATGCACTTTTCTGTGTATATTCATGAGTGGAATTGCTGTGTCTTAGGATCTAATCAGCTTTGATAGATACTGCCAGAGAACTCTGACCTTTGATAGCATGAGATCATTTTACTCAGAAGGAAAACAACTACAAATATCCCCAATATGACAGCAGTTCAAATGACAGAATTCTCGACTGGAGAGATGGTTCAGCAGTTCAGAGACACGTTCTGCTCTTGCAGAGGACTGGGGTATAGTTCCCAGCAGCCACTTAGTGGCTCACAACAGGCTGTATTTGCAGTTCCAGAGGATCCAGTACTCTCCTCTGGCTTCTGCAGGCACCAGACATGTATACAGATGAGCAGGCACAATAGTAATAGAAGGTAACTCTAGCAATATTATGGTGGAAAGTGGAATGTAAATAGAAGCATGTACAAAGGCTTTTAGTCACAGCCAAAATCTTAATATAGTAGTGTAACAAACTTGGGGTTGCCTTTAGCCACAATTAATACCTTATTCGAAATGTACTAGAGAAACAGAAGCATTCAGCATTCCCTTGATCAACACTGGAAAATCTACAAGACTGTTGAAATTGGAGGTGAGTGGGAAAAATACAGCTTTTATCCAAGGCCTATAGGTCATACTGTAGTGATATACTGTGTACCCTAATAAACTTGCCTGGGGATTGGAGGACAGGGCCAACTACCAGATTAGACATAGAGGCCAGAAGTGGTGACACACTTAATCCTATCACTCCGTCTGGATCTCTGTGAGTTCAAGGCTACACTGGAAACAGAGCCAGGTAGTGGTGGCACACGCCTTTAATCCCAGGAAGTATGTCTGGGCAGAGAAAGGTATATAAGGCGTGAAGAAACAGGAACACACTCTCTTGAGGCTGGGGATTTCGTAGAAGTAAGAACGTGGCTGGCTTGTTCTGTTTCTCTGATCTTTCAGCTTTCACCCCAGTATCTGACTCCAGTTTTTTTTTTATTAATCAGACCTTTTAAGATTCATGTTACATCATACTGTTCATACTCAAATGTTGAAGTGTGTGTGTGTGTGTGTATTCCAGAGAACAACCTCGGTTCTCAGAAGCTGTCTATCTTGTTTTATGAAGGGTCTCTCTATAGGTTGGAGTTTTACAAATAGGATGCCTGGCCAGTGAACCCCATATGTCTCCATCCCTCAAGCACCAGGGTCACAAGCTTGCACCACCACACCTGTTTTTTTTCACATGACTTCTGGGATGGAACTCAGGTCCTATGCTTGCATGGCAGGCACTTTGCCAACTGAACTGTCCCCAGCCCCAGGGGGTTGTGGGATTTCAAGTCCAGAGCTTGGAGCAAGCTCAGGGATTGGTGGGATTTTGAGTCCTGAGCTTGGAGCTAGCTCAGGGATTGGTGGGGTTTTGAGTCCTGAGCTTGGGGTTTTATTTTGTAGGGCAGGGGACTGGGTCCGGCTGTTTGTGCAGTTAGAGTGTTACGTTGTTGGAACCTGGTGGTCGGAGGTCCTGGGGGCAGGGCCTGGCCACTCAGTGCCACAAGGGGCTTACATTCCCCCCTTTAGTGTATTACTGATACACTAAAGGGTTGGGAAAGAGGGGCAATATTATCATTAGACTACTTCCTGTGCAATGGGGGCATTGAAATCCTTTGGTCAAACTTGACCTTTGTCATCAGAGTATGATTGGGAGCTGCAGGCTCTGCCTTCATATCTGGGGCTGGTAATCCTGTAGTAGCAGTTGATTAAAAGTCTGGTTAAAAATCTTTTGGATCTGTTGTTGAAGAAATCTAGACAAGAAGTGTATAAGATAGGGTTCAACTAGTAGTATTAAGAAAAGTAGGTGTTGTGGAATTGTGGGAGGCCAGCTTCCACCTTTTAAAGAGTTCCTATGAGGAGGAAAGAGGGATAAGAAAATATTAGATAGAAAGATAGACCTAGCCAAGAAGAAGAAAGACAGAAACACGGGATAGCTTCAGAAGGACCTGGACCAAAATCCACTGCCCCTTCTGTCTCTTCAAAAGGGCTTTTTATAACAATGCCAAGTGATGGGGTAAAAGACCTCCCCCTTGCTAGATCAAAGCATACCTCATAGCGAAGTGCAGAGACTTCCAAACACCTGGTAACCATGCCCATGGTCCAATCATCCCCTAATGCAGCTCTGCTGGGTAAAGCAACCTCAGCTCTCACTAGGAAACCTCTGTGGGTCTCCACATGGGATATTTTGATTGCACTCTGACACTCCTGATAGTTATACCTCAAATCAGGGGGCAGAGCCAGTAACTAGCTGACTGGAATTGGCCCCATAGGGAGGCCAGCAGCCTGGAAAGAGAAGACACACAGGAAGGAAAGGGTGGGGCTGGAGTTTGGGACAAGGGAAGAGACATATCTCTTGTGGTGTCTCCAATGTAAAAGCAAGGTCAGTTAGTTGCTACTCAGCCTCTCTGAGCTAGCAGGTTTTCACCCAGCCTTTGACTTCTGAGTCATATTGATAAATAGAATGATAGAGACTTAATTTAACTGCACATCATGGCCACTGCAGAGCCCAAGCTGCACAACCAGAAGTCCTGCCAGGCTGCTACTTGAGTGGCCGGCAGGGTGCTGAGTAGTGGGGTGGCAGATGATAATTAAAATATCAATAGGCTCATGTGCAGCCACCATTAAGCCAACAGAAAAACAGGGGGATAGAACTGGGCTGTGGTGGCACACACTTTTAATTCCAGCACTCAGGAGGCAGAGGCAAGTGGATCTCTGTGAGTTCGAGGCCAGCCTGGTCTACAGAGCGAGTTCCAAGACTGCCAGGCTACACAGAGAAATCCTGTCTTGAAAAAACAAAAAAGAAAATAATAAGAAAAGGATAAGAGGAGTTAAGAAGGGTTATTATGCTCGAGGCCATCCTCTGAGGTCTGGGGATTGCTTCATAGTCTCTGTGATCAGATACAAAAATGCATGCATGTATAAAGGTGCAAATATACACACAGCAATAAATTGCACTGTCTGTAAGTTTTCTAAAACAAACTCTAGATGTTTTCTCTGGCTCCACTGTCAGTAGGGCCTTCTGATTCGTGTCCCCACTCACTCACACACCCTGACAAAAGATTTCTGAGTGTTTTGTTCTTTTCTCTAAGATGAGTTTCCTCTATATAGGCTTCATTGACCTGGAACTTGCCATGTAGCCCAAGCTAGACTTGAACTTGTGGTCATCCTCCTGCCACTGCCTCTGGAGTATTGGGTATACATCCTGTACAAGCATGTACACACATACTGGCCTTGCCCATGTGGTTTGATAATTACTTTTTGTCTTAGTCACACTATTCTGTTGCTGTGAAGAGACACCATGACCACAGCAACTCATATAAAAGAAAGCATTTAATTCTTCTTCTTCTTCTTCTTCTTCTTCTTCTTCTTCTTCTTCTTCTTCTTCTTCTTCTTCTTCTTCTTCTTCTTCTTCTTCAGAACAGCCAGTGTTCTTACCCTCTGGGCCATCTCTCCATGATCCATCTCTCCAGCCCCGGGCCATTCTTATTTAAACAACCACACTTGCCCTCGATCACACTACAAGGAAGACATTGCACTTGGCTCTGGTTATAACACTTATCCATATAATGAGCCTCGAGTGCCAGGCTTCATGTCTGGGGTGGGAGATTTGGAGAGCACACCTGTGTGAGATAGCATGAAGGGCTGTGTGTTTTGTGGGGTGTTCTTTATAAGAGCACAGTGGCTGACCTACAAGTCAGTGTGTGCCCAGTAGTGTGCATTCCATCATTGGGAATAACACTGAGTGGGAGACAATCTGTTTTCACCTTTGGTTCTCAGCGGTATTACTTGTGACACAGTGTTATATGAATAAATTTGAGGGGACAGTGAAATGACTCAGCTGATTAAGGCCATTGCTGTCAAGCCTGAAGACCTGAGTTGGATCCCTGGAACCTACATGATGGATGCAGAGAACTGACTCCTGCATGCTGTCCTATTGACTTCCACACACAAATATAGTTAAAAGTTTTTGTTTTAAAACATCTCTGGTTGTATGTATATCCTGCATCCTAGATGGTCATATTCTATCCTGGCAGCATGTAAGTTCTGAGGTTCTCTTTTAATGTATTTTGAGGCAAGGGTTCACTCAGCCAAGGTTGCCTTCAAAATCTTTTGCCTCCGGATGTCAAGTTATGGTTTGAATATAAGTGTGCCCCAACAGGTTCGTGTGTCTGAACGCCTGGTTTCCAGTGTCTGCTGCAGTTGCAGGGTGGGGGTTGTGCAATCTTGAAGAGAACTTGTTTGAACTAAGCAGTGAGCAGAGAGAAGCTGAGTTCAGAGAGCTTGCTGCCAGCTCCTCAGAGCTTGCTGTACAGCCTCCGAGGGGATGTCAGAGTGAGTAGGTGGAGGTTGTGCTGTGGGAGGAGCAGACTAGGGAAGCTCAGCAAGAGTGAAAGTCAACGGGAAGGAGGCACATCCACTACCATCTCTCCATCATGCTACAAAAGCTTACCACTGTCCCGGCTAGCCCAGGAGGAATATTTATGAACCGCAGTTTCAATACTGCAAAGCAGGCAAGGAAGGAGTTGGAGCTTAGAAGCAGCAAACTGATAAGGGATAGAATGTTTTAATTTTATTTTGATTTGCAGAGACAGTGTTTCTTGGAGTAGCTGACTATCCTTGAACTCAAAGATCCATCTACCTCTGCCTCCCGAGGGCTGGGATTAAAGGTGTGTACTACCACGCTTGACTTATTGAGAACATGTTTTTTAATGTGCAGATATATTAAAAATAAGAGGCCAGGTGTGGTGATCCATTCCTTTAATCCCAACCCTTGGGAGGCAGAAAGGCATGGATCTTTGTGAATTTGAGGCCAGCCTGGTCTACATAGGGAGTTTCAGGACAGCCAGAGCTACATAATGGAGAGATTGGTCTCAAAAAACAAAGATCAAAAATTGGCATCTAGACGGGCACTCTTTCTATTGATAGCTGGCTGTATTAAGTCGGGCACTGGAGGCTGGGAGTTCCTCGAGGAAGACAATCAAACCATGCTTTATTGGAAGTCCACTGTTTAACCTAAATATAGTCTGTAGTCTTCAAGGAGTGTTCCAATAAACTCCAAAACAAACTGGAACTGCAGAAATGAAGCTCGGCCCCATTACCCAGTCAGTACCATCCTAAGTCAAGGCAGCACCGTTACATAATGGATGACTTCAAATCCATCACAGCCCACATCACAGGCAATCACGGTCACTCAAAAGGTCCTGCATCAGAGCCCAACCACGCACTTAATCATGACCTCATCCCACAAAGACACGCACACATACAAATCTGAGCTCCAGGCCCTGCACACCCTGGGAAACCTTTGCGCACCAATGCCAGAGTCAGACCCCAAATCTGCAAAGTTTGAAGGTGGCCCGGTGGTCTGTGGGAAATGTAGTTAAAGGTCCGCAAAACCCGGATGTCTGGAAGGCGCGCGTAGCCAGCAGACTCAGGAACGCGCCGCAGAGACCCCTGGGAGAGACCGACCGCGCCGGACCGCGCAGGCGCGCACGGCTCGCCAGTGGTCGAAGGTGAGCCTGGTGTGTCCTCTGTGCGTGTGAAATGGGCGGGTGATGGGCGAGCCCGGCTGGGGATGCTGAAGGGGAAGGCGCCAGCCCGGGTTAGGACGGACAGGCAACAGAGTCAGGCCTTAGAGGCGGCGAGCAGGGAGGGAGGCGAGGCCGGCGCGCGCCCTAGGGCTTCCCCGGGAGACTCCACGAGTGTGTCTCCTTGCGCCTGTCCTTATAGGCAGGGCTTTCTGTTTTACCGGTGTTAACTATTGTTAACCAGAATAGTAGGGGGGAAACGCCTGTGTCTGGGTTTTAAAGTAAATCGATTTATTTGAGATTGTAGGACTTTGGAGAGTAAACCGGATTGTGGGAGGATTTTTGTTCCGTGTTAAGTAAGACTCTGTCAGAGATTGCGCTTGCCTTGGGGACTTCTGGAATTGTTGACTGCAATGAGCAGTACAACTTTGATTACGTCTAATTTTGAAGTGTTTGTGTTGGAAGTCCATGAGGAGTCGTTAAGTTGCCCATTATGGGACTTGAGAAAACCTCAGTCCTGGCTACTTAGCATTGTTTAAATTTTCTGAATAGTTGCCGTTTTATTTGCCTGTAGAATTTGATGAGCAATTTAACAAGTATAATAGGTAGATTTGTTTTGAGACAGAGTTTCTCAAGTTGGAGCTCACGATGTAGATAGTCAAGGCTGGCCTCAGAGATCTGCCTGCCTCTGCCTCTCATAAAAGACGTGCACCACCACCGCTTGGCTGATCTATTTATGTATTTTATTTTACTTTTTTTTTTTTGAGACAGAGATTGACTATGTAGCCCTGGTTGGCCCTGACCTTACAGAGATTCACACATCCCGACCCCCACCCCACCCACACCTCCAGAATGCTAGGATTAAAGATGTGTGCTGAGACTTTTAGTTATTTTTTTATGAAGAGAAAATAAAAATTTGAGGGAGTAGCACTGTATATATTGAGAAACCCCATATTGAATGATGACTAATATTTTGGAATAAGCACAACATCTTTGAGAACATACAGTTTTTTAAAAAGAAAGAAAACCGGCAGTAGTGGCCCACGCCTTTAATCCCTGCACTCAGGAGGCAGGAGGATCTCTGAGTTTGAAGCCAGTCTGGTCTACAGAGTGAGTTCCAGGACAGCCAGGGTTACACAGAGAAACCCTGTCTGGGTGGGTGGGGGCACAACGACGACAAAAACCCACAGGTCACGTAGCTCAGTGGTAAAGCACTTTTCTAACTTGGTAGACGTCCACCCCTCACACTCTCAGATGAACTCTAGGGCTTCAGATAAACAAGAAGGAAACACTCTTTCCCTATTCTCTTTTAACTGCCACTTCAAAATTACTATTGGGGTAAATTTTTTTTTCTCCTACTGCTATATGAATTCATGGAAACCTCAATAATTTTTGCAAGGCATTCTTTTTTTTTTTTTTAACTTGTTATTGATTCTTGTGGATTTCACATCATGTATCCCAATCCCACTCATCTCCCTATTCCCTCACTTCTACCCTCTCTGCCAGGCATTCTTAAGATACTAAAAAATTGTTGGGCATTTAAATACAGATCAGTTTCATAGTGATCATTTAGCTAGTCACACTTGCTTAAGGTTTTTGTGTGAGTGAAAGTGTGTGCCCTTAGAGGCCTGAAGAGAACATCAGATACCTGGGTGTGCAGTTACAGGCTGTTATGAACTGCCTTCTGTGGGTGCCGAGACCTGACTCAGGTCCTCTGCAAGAGCACCAACCACAGCATCATCTCTCCAGCCACTGAATCGCTTTCTGTTTGTTTGTTTGTTTATTTATTTATTGGTTTTTGAGACAGGGATTCTCTGTGTAGCCCTGGCTGTCGTAGAACTCACTACATAGATCAGGCTAGCCTCAAAGTTAGAGATCCGCCTGCCTCCGCCTCCTGAGTGTAGGACCAAAGGCATGGACCACCACCACGCAGCTTTATTTTATTTTTTTAAAGCAAATTCTTCCTGCTTTTGAAAGCCTACAGTGTGAAAGGCACACACATGATCCCTTGCTCCCCAATTCTCCAACCACCATTTTGTCTCTTTACAGGTGCAAAGTCTCCAGCTCGAATGGATTGGGAGCTGGGAAAGAGATATCAGAGTTCAAAGGACAGAAGGAGGCCAGCGTAGCTGGTAGCTCTGTAATTTAGGATATCTTCTCTTATTTCCCAAGAGAAGCTGCTTCTGGACCCTCCAGATACACTTCCGTTCTCATGTGTTCAGCTCTTCTCCAGCCGCAGCCTCCTGTTCCTCGGGACATGCAGGGCCCACTTGTCTGGGTGGCTCTTGTTTGTCCCAGGAGTCCTCTTGGGTAGGATCCAACACAACCCAAGCAGCCACCACCCTTGGGGGCTTCATCTAGTGTTAAGGTGAGGATTACTGCCTTCTGGTTGTATACATTTTTGTCCAATGTTCTCATGGCACCTGCAAGAAGCCCTTTGCTTATAAGCATACATTTTTCTTCCCTCAGGAAAATTGTGTTCTAAAAACAACTTATCCACTTAAAAATATATTATTCTCAACTTTCCAGCTTACTGAAGTATGAGTTAAACTAATGGACACAAAACTTTTCAGAGGAGAAAATAGGGTTTATGGGTGTGAGTGAAGGACCCTTGACATTTGCCTAATGTACTGTCTTTGGGATTTCACTGGGACTGAATCAGAAGTTACCATCTTGTAAAAAAAAGGCAGTTGGTGGCTGGAGAGCTGACTCAGGGGTTAAGAGCATGAGTTGCTCCCACATGGCAGGTCACAACTGTCTGTGGTGTACTGTCCTCTGAGGGTACCATAATGCACATGGTTTATGTACATACATGCACACAAAATACTCATGCACATAAAATAAATAAATTTAAAAAGGACATAGTTGGATCGGGAGTTCCAGGTCATCCTCATCTATGTAGCAAATTTCAGGCCATCTTGGGCTGCATAAGACAATGTCTCAAAAAACAACACACATCTGTAAAATAAAAATAACCCAATAGGAAAATGTAATGAATTATAAGAGCACATTTGTAGAAAGAAACTAGTTGTTTTTAAACCTAAGCTTTTCTTCTCCAATAAGGAGAGAACTCAGACTAGAACCAGAATTGATGCCTGTTAGATAATCATGAGCAGATTGCATCCACAGTGCTCCTGTGTGTGGGGTGTCAGGTAGTCCCATGGATTGTTATACAGGGTACATCCTTGTTAGGGAGCGGCTGGAAGCCATCCATAACTGTGGGCTGTTTGGGGTAGGGTGTGGCTTGCCCTCGCTCCATCGTTCCCAAAAGCCTGTATCTTGGGATGTGGGAATGAAATAGCTCCTTAGCCCCAATAGATTCCATTCATTAGGATGTACAAAGGAGACAAGAATCAACACATAGAGATGGTTTTAATTTAGTGTAAGCCGTGAGAGCTAGCTGTAAGGGGGTAAATTCTCAAGTGCCCACCCTTACCCCTTCTTGGCTTTGCTATTTTAGGAACTACCCTACTTTCCTGAAGAGGAGCCCAGATCTCAAAACCATGGCTCAGGTGAGGTAATGGTCCCCCTCCTTGGAAAGTTGCTTGTTTTGATCTATCCTGGCAAACTCTCTCCCCACTTCATTTTAAGTGGAGAAAATTTATGTCATTGGTGAAGCCAGAGAATTTTTTCTGTCTTGTGAGACACCATGCCTTATGTGTGCTATAGTGGGCTATGGGTTTATATTCATATGTACTCTCCTATGTTCATGCCCGGGGAGCACATATGTTAGAGTCTGGTTCCCAGTAAACAAGTGCACATTGTAGGCATGGAGCAACTTCAGATGAGGTCATGGTTTAATTACATTTTTATTTTTCTTAGTGTTAACCTGTGTCTGTGTGTATGTGAACGTGCATGTACCACAGCATTCATGTGAATGTCAGTGCAACTTACAGGAGTCGGTTTTCCCCTTTTACGCTGTGGAACCAAGACTGAACTCCATCATCAGGCCACTAGTGCCTTTACCTGCTGAGTCAGTTTATGACTGTCCCAGTGGAGCGGGGATAAGAGTAGTTCCCAGGGCTGTAGAGATGCCAAGCACTTGTTACTCTCCCAGAGGCCCTGGGTTCAGTTCCTAGCACCCATATGGTGTCTTACAACTGTCTTAACTCCAGTTCCTGGGACTCTGACACCGTCTTCCAACCTCCAAGGGCACCAGGCACATGTGTGGTGCACAGACACCATGCAGGCAAAACACCCATACACATAATAAAATAAATCTAAAGAAATGTTTCAAAGAGTAGTTTTCCTGTCCCAACCACTGGGTCCCAGATAAACACAGAAGCTTATAGTAATTACAAAATGCTCGACCAGTAGCTCAGGCTTATTACTAACTAGCTCCTACGTTTAAATTAACCCATTCCTAATAATCCATGTATTGCCACATGGCTCATGGCTTTATCTGTCCTCTAGCATCTTGCTTCTTGGGTGGCTCGATGGCGTCTCTCTCAACTCCGCCCTTCTTCATCCGAGTTCTCAGTTTGATTGTCCCGCCTGACTTTATCCTGCCTTGCTATAGGCCAGTCAGCTTTATTATTAACCAATGAGAGTAATACATATTCACAGCGTGCAGAAGGATTAGCCCACAGGCGTTCCCAGTATCTAGTTAACGTGTGTCAGTCACCCTTCCAAATTCTGCACTGCAGGGATCCCTGTCACTCAAGGATGTGACTGTGGACTTCAGTCAAGAGGAGTGGCAGCAGCTGGATCCTGCTCAGAAGACCCTGTGTATGGATGTGATGTTGGAAAACTATGGCCACCTCATTTCCATAGGTATGGAAAGCTGTGATGCTCTTTATTTCCTCTCGGAGCACCTAAGTAACTGTGCTCTCGAATTCCAGTAATGGGAGCCAAGAGACCCTTTTGGTTTGCAGGAGGGATGTTTGCTCTTCAGCTCCTAGAGGAAGGAGCTAAGTTTGCTGTTATGCAAATGAGAGACATTCAGATATGCACCTTAGTCACCTTTAGTATTTTTCGAGCTCCTGCACATGTGCGATCTTAGGTTGAGAGTATTCCCTCATCTCCCCATACCTACCCTCTTTTTGGCTGGGTGTGTGTTTTACCACTGAGCTCCATCCCCAGCTGCCTTGCTCATTATTACTTCCTTCTCCTCCTTATCAGGGTGTGACGTGTCTAAACCCGATGTCATCCTCAGATTGGAGAGAGGGGAAGAACCATGGACATCATTTGCGGGTCATGTCTGCTTAGGTGAGTTTCAGAGTTCCAGACATGAAAGATAATAGAAAGTAAAACTGAAGGAAGCAGGTAACCAGGAATATCATTGAAATGTTTTAAATGTTCTTAAAATTTCCTAACTTTTGAAGTAACTGGCTCACCTACAACACTTAAACCAAAATTCTGAGCCAGGGGGTTTATTGCTAGCATATTTAAGGATAGTACAATTTGGAAATGTTTTCATTTGTAACACAAACCCTGGTGCATGAGGAGGCATAATTACATTGAGACTCAACTCAGGGTACATGTCATTTCTTCCAAGAAGATGCGTTCTGGAGTTAGGCTACCCTATATTAACATGAGGGGGGGATCTGGCCTGGCCTTGGTCATATAGATAGCATAGAAGTCATTTGGGCTACTAGCCACCTCTGGTCCTGATTGTAGGGGCTTGATGTAGCCTGGCCCAACAGATAACACAGATCACCATGCTATTAATCACCTCCAAATCCCAGCCTTCTGAAAAACAGGTCATATGTCCTTCCTTTTAAAAGAACAATCCTAGGTGCTTAACATTTCTGGTTTCCCTGGAGATCTATATATGCAACAAATAAATGAATGAATAAAGGAGTTCAAGGCCACCAGGGGAGCGAGCATGTCTAAATAAATAAATGGGCAGTAGCTAAGCTCTGTGGTAAACCTCGTGCCTGACATGGTAAAGCGTGGACTCACCTCCAACACCACAGAATAACCAAAAACTACATATCATTTCTCCCCAAACTTGCTTGTTACTAAAGATATTTGCCCCAATGTAACAAAAATGTACTGCACGCTCTTTCTCCCAGTGTTCAGTTAATGTGTTTTTCTCTTTGCTGTTTTCTTTGAGAAAGTGACTTGCTGTTTAGCCCAGGCTGGCCTTGCACTCACGATCCTCCTGCCTCAGCCTTCCAGCTGCTGGGGTGTTAGGCCATGTACCAACCAGCACACTCTTCTGCTGTTTTTATATTTTCTTTCCCATGAACTGCTGGTGACTATTTCCTGTCATATCTGTCTGCTTCCAGTACTACACACTGTCCATATAGACACAAATATTATTTATAGATACTTGATGCTTCGAGATTCTTTCTCCCAAAGATAAGATCTATTGAAGACAAATCTAGCATATAATGTGTTGAATATTCAGTAAGTAAACAGTTACACGTAGAGCATGAGGCCCTAGGTTTAGCCCCCAGCTCTGGGGGGAAATGTGTGAATGGAGCTGTGTAAGAGATACCTTTGTCATCCATTCAGAAAGCCTGTACTTCTGAGCTCTTTTCAAATACACCTGCTTAGGCTGTGACCCTATTCTGACCGAAGTGGTTTAATCCCAGAAAACATCATCGCTCTGAGATATGCAGTAATATTGTGAACTCAGGCATTCAAAGAAGATAACAACATACATCACTGTAGCCTAGGCTGGCCTGGTACTCATAGAAATTCTTCTGCCGAGTCAGGTGGTGGTAGCGCTCAACTTTAATCCCAGCACTTGGGAGGCAGAGGCAGGTGGGTTTCTGTGAGTTCAAGGCCAGCCTGATGAGTTCCAGGACAGACAGAGCTACACAGAGAAACCCTGTCTCAGAAAAAGAGAAAAGAAAAATTCTTCTGCCTCCATCTCCTCAATGCTAGAAATAAAAGGTGTAAGCCACCCTTTCCAACCAAAAGACTTTTTGAATTTAGGTTTATTTTTATTTTACATGTCTAAGTATTTTGCCTGCATGCATATATGTGCAGTACATACATACTTGGGGTCTGAGGCCAGAAGAGGGTGTCAGATTCTCAGGAACTGAACTTATGGACAGTTGTGAGTTTCCATATGGGTGTTGGGAACTGAACCTGGGTTCTCTTAACTGTTCAGACATCTTTCCAGCCCCCAAAACATCGACTTTTCAATAAGAAAGGGTACTCTCCAGTCGGTATTTTATGAAATATTTATGAGAAAATGCAAGACTGTTTAAATATTTGCTGCTAAGTGTGGTGGTGCATGCCTGTATTCCAAACACTTCAGAAGCTGAATTGGAGGACTAGCATGAGTTTGAGGCCAGCCTGGCCTACCTCATGAGTCAGTGTTACTATGTAAGACCCCTAAAAACAATCCAGCAAGGGGGCTGGAGACATGGCATTGGCTGCTCTTCAGAGAACTTGGGTTCACAACCATTCATAACTCCACTTCTAGATCTGATAGCCTCTTCTGACATCCAATGGGCACCAAGCACACATTTGGTGCACATACATGAAGGCAAAACACTCACATGAAATAAAATTAATAAATCTAAATGTTAAAAACAGTTCAGAGTCATTTTTGGTACATAACAAGTTTGAGGTGAGCCTGGGCTACACGAAATCCTATTATGTTTCAAAAGATTTTTGTTTTTGCAATGACTTTTCTAGATGATAATTATACCCAAGTTTCAAGTAGAGCATGAAGCGGTGGAAGGAAGCATGTGTAGGCTTTTGTTGTTGTTGTTACTGTTTTGTTGTTGGCTGCAGGGTTGAGGATAGACCCCAGAGCCCTGTCCATGCTGGACAGACACTCCACCTTGTAGTTTGTTCAGCTGGTTTTCACCATGTAGCCAAGACTGACATCAAACACCAGTCCCCTTGTCTCTGCCTCACAAGTGCTGGGATTTCACATGTGCACCCTACTCTTGGCTATATGAAGGGTTTCTGAAATCATAGAACAGTACGATTTACTTGAAGATTCTCTAAATATGACTAGAAATAAAGCTGAAAATGGATGAAAACAGTACAAACTTGGGCTGTTGTCCCTTGGCTCGGAAGACCCAACACTTTGGAGGGTGTCATTGACTTTCTGCCTTGGCCTTCTCACCACCTAAACATCTTTTTACTTGCTCAAATCTTGACTATGCACTAAGATACAGAGATAAGCGTCTGAAAATAATGGTTACCCCAGGAGTTCTAGAGTCAGTTTAGCAGGGTGAGTACAGCAGTTGTACACACCACTCTGTATTAAACTTGTTAGAGGAGTTTTCCTAGTTCTCCTGTTATATGGCAAAATAGTTCTACCTCTTCAGTAGCCTCAGAGCTAGTTATAGGAATTATAGGAATGCTTTTCTACATTCCAAGAAACTAATCCTTTAAAAGATTAGTGAGCCTGTGGTGCTTCATGTAAAGGGGGCTGGGAAAAATGAATGGCTGTTTCACCACAGTAATTGAGAGACTCGTGTATAAAAATTTGGGTGATGTTTCCTGCAGTATCTTTCCTGTGATTTCTCTTAACAAATATTTCTACCTTATTGTTCATCTTACATTACTTTGATTCCCTTGATAGATCTGTTTCATCATTTAAGAGTCTTCCCTAGCCGGGTGGTGGTGGCACACGCCTTTAATCCCAGCACTTGGGAGGCAGAGCCAGGAGGATCTCTGTGAGTTCGAGGCCAGCCTGGGCTACCAAGTGAGTTCCAGGAAAGGCGCAAAGCTACACAGAGAAACCCTGTCTTGAAAAAAACCAAAAAAAAAAAAAAAAAAAAAAAAAAAGAGTCTTCCCAACCCTGAATTCCTCTTACACCATTCCTTATTTGTATTACTTTCTGTATATAATTATTACGGTTCAAGAGGCATTAACAGTGTTTTTATTTCATTCTTTTTTACACTGAAGCACACTTTGTATTTATGCTTCATGTTTGTCCGTGGGTTTTCTATTCTTATTTGTTTTGCTTTATAACCTGGAAGTGGTTTGCTATAGGTCTTTAACATACTAGATTGTTTCATAATTCTTTTACCTAGCAAATTTGTGGAAATTCACTAGTTGTTATTCTTTTCTAGAAGAAAACTGGAGATCAAGTGAGTTTTTAATGAAATTCAAGGAACACCAAGATAAGTATTCTAGATCATTTGTATATATTAACTATAAAGAACTAACTAAAAAGAAGAGTAATATATATCAAAAGACATTTACCCTAGTGAACAGTCCTATTAATTCCAAAGATCTACCTCCTGAATATGACACTCATGGAAATATTTTAGAAAATGTTTCAGAATTAATTAACAGTAATCTAAGTCCTTCAAGAAAGAGATTTAATGAGTATGATGGATATTTGAAATCATGCCCAAATTCCATGCAAGACATGGGACATCCTGAAATCAAGTTCCATACTCAAAATGCCAAGGCTTGTAGTCACAGTGATGTACTGGTACAACATGAGAAAATAGGAACTCCAGCACAGTCATTTGGATATAATGACTATGAGAAGCCACTTTTTAGGAAGGGAAGCTCAAATACACAAAATAGAGCATACAGAGGGGAAAGTCCATCCATATATAACAAAAAGAAAAGAGCAACAAATACTGAAAAAAATCATATATGCACAGAATGTGGGAAGTCCTTCTGCAGGAAGTCAGTGTTGATTCTGCATCTGGCGATTCACACAGAGGAAAAGCCTTATCAGTGTCATCAGTGTGGAAATGCCTTTAGAAGGAGGTCGTATCTCATTGACCATCAGAGAACTCACACGGGAGAAAAACCCTTTGTTTGTAATGAGTGTGGTAAGTCCTTCCGCCTAAAGACAGCCCTCACTGATCACCAGAGAACACACACAGGCGAGAAGTCATATGAATGTCCACAGTGTAAGAAGGCCTTCAGATTGAAGCCCCACCTTATTCGTCATCAGAGAACTCACACGGGAGAAAAGCCGTATGAGTGTCATGACTGTGGGAAGTCTTTCCGTCAAAAGACAACGCTCTCCCTCCATCAGAGAATTCATACGGGCGAGAAACCCTATATTTGTAAAGAATGTGGCAAATCTTTCCACCAGAAAGCAAACCTCACTGTCCACCAGAGGACTCATACAGGGGAGAAGCCCTATATTTGTAAGGAATGTGGGAAATCATTCTCCCAGAAGACAACCCTTGCTCTTCATGAGAAAACTCACAACGAGGAGAAACCCTATATGTGTAACGAATGTGGAAAGTCCTTCCGCCAGAAAACAACTCTTGTGGCCCATCAGAGGACGCATACAGGGGAGAAGTCTTATGAATGTCCTCGTTGTGGGAAGGCCTTTAGAATGAAGTCCTACCTCATTGATCATCACAGAACTCACACAGGAGAAAAACCCTATGAATGTAACGAGTGTGGGAAATCATTCAGTCAAAAAACAAATCTCAATCTACACCAGAGGATTCATACTGGGGAGAAACCCTATGTTTGTAATGAGTGTGGGAAGTCCTTTCGCCAAAAAGCAACCCTCACTGTACATCAGAAAATACATACAGGACAGAAGTCTTATGAGTGTCCTCAGTGTGGGAAAGCTTTTAGCAGGAAGTCCTACCTCATTCATCATCAAAGAACTCATACAGGAGAGAAACCCTATAAATGCAATGAATGTGGAAAGTGCTTCCGTCAAAAAACAAATCTCATTGTTCATCAAAGAACTCACACAGGTGAGAAACCCTATGTGTGTAAGGGCTGTGGCAAGTCCTTTAGTTATAAGAGAAACCTCATTGTCCATCAAGGGGTTCATAGAGAAAATATGGAAATAGAATAAAAGAAAGTGATGTCTTTGTAAAGTCTTTCCAATTATTGTAAACCTGCAGTTTCAAAAAGAAAACCATGCTTACATATATCATAGTAGTTATTAGAGTTCCCTGCCACATTACTATTTACTGCTCCCAAGCATAGGAAATATTTATGGCCATTGTTGAACTGTGTCAGCTGTGAAGGTAATTTGTAACTTTGAGACTGTTCTGCTGACTTTAAATACTTTGTTAAAACGACTTCCAGTTGTGTGTGGCAGTGCACACTTAAGAGGTGCCAACCCTTTGGTGGCAAAGGCAACAGGTCATAGTTTAGAGCAACCTGACCTACATACCAGCTTTCAGGCCAGCCAGGGCTACAGGGGAGAAACCGTCTCAAAACAACAAAACTGTAGTACATGTAGGAACACATTGTGAAGTGGTTATCAACATTAATTTCCACAATACAAATGAACCCTAAGTTTCATTGTATCCTATGTGACTAAAAAATAGGTGCTGCTTTCCCTGTAAGTGCATTTGCATATATTTTTCCTTGGGTTTTTTAAGACAGGATTTCTCTGTAGCTCTGGCTGTTTTGGAACTCTATAACTAGGCTGGCCTAGAACTCACAGAGATGTGACTGCCTCCGTATTCCTGAGTGCTGGGACTAAAGGCATGCATCACTACTGCTGGCTCATATTCTTAAACTTTAGGCATGGTTTATCATACATCTTGGATTTTTTTTTAACATTCTGCTTTGTTTCACATTTTAAAGCTCAGTACAACCGCATGTGTTAGTAGCACATTAATTTTTAATATTTCATTTTAAGAATATATTTCTAGCCGGGCGGTGGTAGTGCACACCTTTAATCCCAGCACTTGGGAGGCAAAGCCAGGCAGATCTCTGTGAGTTCAAGGCCAGCCTGGGCTACAGAGTGAGATCCAGGAAAGGCCCAAAGCTACACAGAGAAACCCTGTCTCGAAAAACCAAATATATATATATATATATATATATATATATATATATATATATATATATATATATATTTCTAGTTATCTTATTTGTGGATATTTGTATTTTTGATAACTGCCATAAAAATACTGCTATATTCTGGCATGTCTTTTGGTGTTTACATATGTGTATGCATTTTTTTTTTTTTTTTTTTTGGTTTTTCGAGACAGGGTTTCTCTGTGTAGCTTTGCGCCTTTTCCTGGAACTCACTTGGTAGCCCAGGCTGGCCTCGAACTCACAGAGATCCGCCTGGCTCTGCCTCCCGAGTGCTGGGATTAAAGGCATGCGCCACCACCGCCCGGCTGCATTTCTTATTACTTAATACCACACAGAATTTTTCCATCCAACATGGAGGTCTTTTCGTTATGGTAGATTCTGTCATATATCTCAGACCTTTCATAAAATGATTAATCAACGTGAAAAAGCCAAACCAGCCAGGCCTGGTGGTGCATGCCTTTAATCCCAGCATTTGGGGAGGCGGGATTAAAGTACTCCCAGCACTGAGTAGGAGGCCAAGGCAGGTGGATCTCTGAGTTTGAGGCCAGCCTGGTCTACAGGACCAGGACAGCCAGGGCTACACAGAGAAACCCTGTTTTGAAGAAAAACACACACAAAGATAGATAGATAGATAGATAGATAGATAGATAGATAGATAGATAGATAGACAGACAGACAGATGACAAAACAAAACCAACCAGAACTCTTTAAACAGCCATTCATATTGGATAATGTTAGGTTCCACACCCCACCCCACCCCCATAAAAGGCAGTTGCACTGCCATTGTTCGGGATGACAGTCTGGGCTCAGCTCAGGCTGGAACATAGACAGATTGCTTTGAGGAGGGTTTATAAAAGCTCACAGAAGAGCCACCTTCCCTATGTCTTCCTACTTCAGGCACATGAGGCATCTGGTTACAGATCAAAGCCTCTTGCTCACTTCCAGGTTTCTTTAACCCCTATTAACATGGAGCGGTGGTGCACATCAAAGCCACTGGGCTCTTCCGGCCCTAAACTTACAAGCTATTCCAACTCTGCAGCTACCTGCTCTCTTAGAAACCAGCAAGCCCCCAGCCCTTTAACTTCTCTCTCCACCCCCTTAGGGTAGCCATGGCAGCTCTGGATACCCCCAAATGCCTCTGGCTATTCTCTCTACCACCTGAGAGATAGGCACATGACAGTTTCATGTTTACAAAAAAAACCCTTCTTTACACCCATGGAGTGGTCTATTTCAGTAGCTTTGACGTGCTCTCACCTACAGATAGAATTTGCTAAAAAATAAACTTTACAGGCTGGCGTGGTGGTACAAGCCTGTGATCTCAACAATTAAGAAGCTGAGACAGGACTGCATGAGTTCAAGGCAAGACTGGGCTATATAGTATTGGGCTTTTGAGGCGCAGTCTCAAAGAGGCTATCTTTGTCTATGTAAATGCAATGAATGTTGAAGTCTTTAGCCATGCCTCAACACTTACACAAAACCAAAAATTCTTATTCAGGGAAAATGCTATAATTTTAGGGGTGCTTATAGCCCTCATTTATACCATATCAGAGAGTTCATGCTAGAGTAGAGGTTAAGTAAGGACAACTGAGAACTGAGAGAAGAGTGCCAGACTGCAATGAAGTTTTCATGTTAAATAGACTTTTAACTAACCGGCCGGTTTGAGGGTACAGGCCAGTAATCCAAGGCATTTGAGACACCGAGGCAAGAGATTCCTAAGTTCAGAGCCAGGCTGAGCTAACAAGCTAACAAGACCCAGCCTTGATGGAAAAAAGTAGCATTATGGATGTAGCTCAGTGCTAGACCGCTGGCCCAGTACGTGCAAGGTCCTAGTTTTAATCACCTATACTGGTAAAACATGTTAGGGGAAAAATGGGTCCCTGAAAATCACAAATCACGGGGGTTTGTTGATTTTCTTAACTGTGTGTATGGATGTTTTGTGTGTATGGATGTTTTCTTTGCATGTATGTCTGTGCACCGTGTTGCAGCACTCTTGGAGGCTAGTAAGAGGGTGACATCACCTGGGACTGGAGTTAACAAACACTTGTGAGCTGCCCCGTGGGTGCTGGAGTTCGAACCCTGGTCTCTGGAAGACCAGCTAGTGCTCTTCTGTGCTTCACTCCAGCCCATTTTCCATTTTAAAAGACTTTTGGGAGTCAGCGTATTGCATGTTTGTGGAACTCCAGAGAAAACCCGTGCAGGTCAGTTCTGTTCCCCCAGTCCATACCGGGATGTCAGGTTGTCAGCAAGTGCCTTTACCCACTGAGCCAGCTCTAGATCCCTATACACATACATGCATGTACATGTGCACTCCACATATGAAATACATGCATGTGCACTCCACATATGAAATACATCCATGTACATGTGCACTCCAAATATGAAATACATGCATATACATGTGCACTCCACATATGAAAGCACATATAAACACACTATACACATGAAAAAGGAAAAAAAAGAACCGAATTCCTTCATGGTATTGATGCTATGAAGGCATCATTTACCTCTCAGAACTAAGATGGCTAAGTCAAGGCCAAATGTTGAAAAGATTTGCAATACTAATTGTTTATAATTTCAAAAGCAAAGTCTTACGATTTCTAATGGTTTATAATTTCTAGTGGATTTAATTGTTTATTGAAATGAATTAAACATGGGTCTTCCAGGTGAACACCAGTTTAGGAATACAAAGTTACAAATCCTAACAGCTTTCCAAATGAGAGTGTAATTATGGCAAGTTATACCAAGGCAAATACTTTATGAATTTCAACACAGTGTAAACCTCGTCCTGGGAACAGTGGAAATGCGTAGCTTTAATTTTTTTAATTTAATACAAGAATCTGAGAACATTTCAAGATTTCTGGGAAAACACTACTTTGGTATATCTGGAACTCCATTTGGAGTTGACATTTATGTTACATGAGTTTTCAAATGTAATAAATACCTGCAAATTTTTTTGAATTGACATTCAAACTGAATTGGCATTTTAAAAAATCTGACATTCACCTTAAAGAAAAAATTTATCTCTACATTTACCTTTATGAAAGAAAATGCCCATGTATGTGTGCACACTTTCTTCTGTAATTTGTGTAGAGGTCTGATATTCCTAGGGTGCTATTCACTTAGTTTTTATTAGATCTTTCACTGCAGCCTGGGGCTCACCAATTAGATTAGATTGGCTGGCCAGTGAGCGCAGAGGTACTGCCATTTGGGCCTCCCCAGAGCTGGAATCTTAAGTATGTGCAACCATGAGCAGATTTTATGTGGGTTGAGTATTGAACACACACACACACACACACACACACACACACACACACACACACACACACACACACACACACACACATGCTAGTGCCAGAAAAAGCCCAAAGGCATTGATTCCCCTGGAACTATAATTACAGGAGGTTGTAAGCTGCCCTATGTAGGTGCTGGGAATTGAACTCGTCTTCTGGAAGAGCAGCAAGCACTCTTAACTACTTAGCCATACCATTAGTCCATCTTCTCTACTGGCAACTGCAACCTAGAATTGAACTGTTCACAATTTTAAAAGATTCTGTGTTCCTGTAAACCCAGTAAAAGTCCCTTGGGAGGTCCCAAACCCTGATGGGAAAGTTACTGTTGTTTTGTTGAATAGACATAATGTGTCCACCAAACTGCCTTCTAAATAACTATATTTATGCCCATAGATTACTGTTACTATCCACTTTGGTCAAAGAAGCTTCTTTTTACAATAGTTAGTGGTGGTTTTAGAGACTTAATAACTGCTCAAAAGCCAGGCAGATCTCTGAGTTCAAGGCCAGCCTGATCTACAAAGGCTACACAGAAAAACTCTGCCCTGAAAATCAAATAAATGCTGGGGAAAAAAAATCTAAGACCAAATGTTAGAATGTCTATTAGCCATAAATGGATATGCAAGGTTTAGGGAACATTGTGGAACTAGGGCCAGAAAGAATGTATGAGCTCAATTCCTACCCAATTCTACATTTGGCTCATACAGTTGAAAAGATCCTTCAGCCTATCACATACAGTCAGTATGAATTCAGGGGCTGGAGGGGGCTCTCTGGTTTAGAATTCAAGGCTTACTCCCTGCTCAGGCACTGCATTCACACGTGCAAACATAAACAGATATAGTTTACAATTATGTAAATAACTGAAAGTGTAAACTGCTAAGGAAGCATATGGATTCCATGCTGTGGGCTGTCCTGTAGGCTGTGAATGTGTGTTGCTCTCATTGTTAATAATCAAGCTAATTGGCTGGTAGCCAGGCAGGAAGCATGGGCAGAACAAAATGAAGGAAGGGAGTACAGTGGTGGAGTCAGAAGACACCAGCCAGCCACAGGGGAATCAAGACATGTAAAAATGAGGTAACAAGCCACCAACCACAAGGCAAAATATAGATTAACAGAAATGGGTAAATTTAAGTTGTAAGAGCTAGTTAATAATAAGCATGAGCCATTGACCAAACATTTATAATTAATATTAAGCCTCTGAATGATTAATTTATACCCGGCTGCAGGACTAGGTGGGATGCAGAAAATGCCACATACACACAAATGAAGAAATGTACACTCCATCTCTACTTCTCTTCACTCTAAATACTTTTATACCACATGGGTGGGAGTACCTGTGGGAGCCACAGGAGGGCATGGGATCCTCTGGAACTGGAAACGGAGCCCCTCTTCTGGAATAGCAGTAAGTGCTCTTATCTGCTGAGCCAGCTTGCCAGCACCCCTCCTCTTTTAAAATGTAGACTTAACTCTAGCCCATGACGGCCTAGATCTCATCATATAGCCGGGGTTGGTCTCAAACTCCTGGTAATCCTGCCTCAGTCTCCTGAGTACTGAAATTATGGGTGAGCACCACCACACTTAACTCCACTGAACTCTTAACAAAGTAACACAAAAGGCAGTCATGGTATCACAGAATCTCCAAACCCATCTCCTCCACACAGAATCCAGAGTTGGCAAGAGAACCAGTGAGATGGCT